GAAAAGTCATGATCCTTCTAGAAACTCATGACGTGTTACCAGCGTCACGTGGCTTCTGCTGTCGTAACAATACCTTCACAAGTGAATGAGAAATTGTAATTACAAGTCTTCAAAGTTTCTTAATTTAAAAGCTATGGTAATGTAATTTCCTGTTTCATTTCAGTATCTCATAAGATCTTTAGGGTTTATTAATTAACCCAGAAAACTCCTTGTTAAGTTTTAACGATATGTAAATAATATTTATTAAAGTAAGCATTAGGTGACCATTGTTGTACCATTTTAATCTCTTGTAATAGTTTCCTTCAATAATATATAAATGCTTTTTATTGCTTAAAAATATGTATATGCATTATACATATAGGTCATTGTCACTAATAAATACATATAACAAAAAAGAAGCATTTGATGTAACAGAAGTTAAAGAACATAGAATTTAATGATATGTTTTTTTACATATTTTTCCATTTGAAAAGAAGAAAACATTACAAAATATGTTATCAACAGAATAAATTTGCTAGACACTTGTAAACCTAAAGAAAGATTCTTAACCACATAATAAGCTTCAGTTAAGAACTGACTTTGGTAAATCTTTAGTAGTTGTATATGGAAATTTGATAAATGTGTTTTTATTTTGTGGAGACATAGATTAAAGTAGACTAACTGCATGGTCGTGTTGCTGGGGCACACTGTATTTACATCCATCCATAAGCATTGAAAATACATGCAACTCCTAGTTTTATAAATTTCTAAATATTAGTCATATGTAATATAGCTTAAAAATTAACTACAACATGAGATATGTTTATAATGTTGTTTTAAGCTTGCAAAATCTTTAAATGTGTTTTTTTTTTATCAGAAGAAACAATAGACAAAATCCAAGCTTTGAAGAAGACTGACTATTCAGCTAATGCCAAATGGAGAAAAAGTCTCAAACTTGCTAATGACTATTGTATATTTTGGGCTACATCTTCAAAACCACACCATTACAAAACTACTACTGATTTTTTGGGAAATAGTACCCAAATCAACCCTTGATGGAAAATTGCTACAGGAAATGATTCTTTCATGTGATGCAAATAGCAAGGTAATTTATTGCAGTGTATCCAATGGCAAATGTGTTGTGAAATACCCTGCTATCTATCATGAGACAACCTTAAATTTATGATCCTAAATTTATAATAATTAACATGTTGGTTAAAAGAAATGAGAAAGTTGTTTCATATTTTCAGTAAAATTTCAAAAACCAATATTTGTACCTTGAAACTTTTTTCACGATATTGAGTAGCGTAACTTCATACATTTTTCCCACTGGAGTATTTCATATACAAACAATAAAAAACTACACAATTTATTATTGCTCTTTTGGATTGTCTTGGTGAACAGATTATGCTCTCAGGACTGATGTGGTCCATTAAAAGATCTTATCCAGAACTGAACATATTTGAAAGTCTCCAATTTAATCTGGCTTGTGAGTACATTTAAGAATAGGAAACACCATGATGGATTGGTCACCAATATTAACCTTGCACATCCATTAAGTTAATTTGCCTTTTGCTAGCTTTTGTTACCGTGTGCCACAAGCAATGCAAAAATTATAACCTATTCTAATTTTGTTTCCAGTTTCTGGTTGTTTTTAGTCCACTCTGCAACAGATATTTTAGTGTAGTCCTTGCACGTAGATATTTTCCCACTCCTGTCCTAGACGACTCCTTTTTCAATTATTATGCATTTATTAGCCATAAAATGTACAAGTATTTTAGGCAGTTAGTAGGCATGAGAAATGTGCTAACCAAACTTTTCTTTCATGATAATGATTAAAATATAACCTATTACAAACACTTATCTATTTTCATTGCAGTGACTTCTTCCACAGTATTACACAACTAAAAATAATACAATTTACTAAAGTACAAGTGATGAAGATGTAAAATCTGTGAACAGGCTGACTAGTCCACATTTTTAATTGTCTGATATTCCTAAGTAATGGTTTAATTCAGAAGCTCTGAACAGTTGTCCAGTCTACAGTACATATGTGATGAACTTTTAACAACCATGCGATGTTCTGAGATTTGGAACAATGGATTACCCTGTCATCAGTAATCAGGTTACAGACCTTACAAAAGTTTCAGTGATATTAGATATTTAAATATTTGAAAGAAATAAAAATAAAAACAGTTGTCATTTTTGTAAATTTTAATTAATAAATATTACACCCAAAATCAAAATTTGGTAGTTCTGAGTAGCAAGCTAGTGTATTTTTACACCCCTGGTATTCTTAAAAACTGCTACCTGAAAGGCAATTTTTTATAGAAAAGGTGTTACAGGAAAAGGAAGTACAGTAACAACTTCAAATTAGACAAAGTAAATCAAACCTTCGTGTTCAGTAACATAGAGTGTGATATTGTTAGCTCATTTCTCTAAAAATATTTCTCAAATCTTTCCATACAGTTAATTAGCAGTTAATTTTCTGAAATAATTGACGAGTAGATTTCATAAATAGATTAATATATTTTTAGGACCTTCAATATTGTAATGGATTCATCAGAGGCTCAACACTATGTAGTGGCATTCCATATGTAAGTATGGTGATTTCTAATTTGTTTTTTATCCACACCTAACAATTGGCAATTTAAACTAAAAAAAATTTTAAAATACTGTGAAAGAAAACAGTAGTTTTAGCAGGTATTTTCCAAACATGATTAATTGCTGTATATTTCTTGCTGTCAGTTTCAAATGTACTTGTATAACATTGCTTTACTATTGCAAGAAGAAAGATAAAATCAGGAACATTTTATAAGATATCTTGTTGACATGTACAAGCATAAAGTATGTGAATGATTCCAAACACAATTTATGTTTGAGTTTTGATCCTTCCATTTTGTGGAAAATTTCATCCTTCCATTTTTTTCTGTGTGTAAGAAAATATTAAGAAAGTAAAATACTGAACAGATGAAAATTAATTTGAATATTTTACTGATATATTAAAGATTTGTAAAATGTGGTTTAAAAAAGTATTGTTATAAGCTATATTTTTAATGTTTTGATTCATGTATTAGCTAGAGGGTACATGACATTAAACTCAAGTAACATTTTGGGAGTAGCCCTCGAAAATTTTAAATCTGACTTCACAAAAATCTAGTAAATTCAGGGAATATCAAGAGATGAGGCTAGGTTATAAAATTGAAAGTCAGTGTTTTGCTTTAAGCTAAAGTGAATGAGTGTTGAACTGTCAGATTAGTTTCACGAGGTATTCAATGAAAGGTGTATCAACAATAGCTGTGAAATTGTACAATTAAGCTTATTTTTACTGTAGTTGTACTGTTTTGAGTATTTCTGTTTGAACATTATTTGTAAATGTAGTCCTACAAGTTGTAGAAATGTTAAGAAAGAAAAACTAATTTTTATCATTAGGTGGACTGCACTTTGAATTATTTTCAACAAATAATTTAAAAGAACCTGCTCAAAAGAATATTACAACAGTATCTTTTTGTTTAGAAAGTGATTTCCTGGTTCCTGATACACCAAATGTTGTACAAACTCTTTGAACACTTACCACAATATGTCTTGTAAGAGAAACGTTTTTATGATGTTCATCCCTGTAGATCAAGAGTGAGCCTCGTGTTACCTCAGTTCCTGTTTGCTCAGTTGGAGACAACCTTCAGTTAATTACTGTGGAGCTTATCTACAATGTGAGTCTTTTTTTTTTATCATTGTATGTTTAATATGGCTGTTGTTTAAGACTCATAATGTAGGTATTAATATATATATATATATATATAATTATACAGACTTTTCTCTATGTAATTACTTTTATTTGTGAGTTTTTGGCTCTCTTACCGGAGCCTTCATTGGGCAACAATGAACTGAGTAATAAAATTCCTTAAATTGTGGAACACTGCTTTAAAATAGGTATCTTAGACAACAGTTGTAACAATAACTGACATCTGGTATTAAACATATATAATTATGATGAATATAGAATATAAATCAGTTGCTTCAGTATAATAAACATAAGGAAAATACAATTATAGGTATTATATAGAGAAAATAAATGAATTTTTCAACTTCAAATAATACGTTTGTAGCACAGTTCATAATATTTATTTGGTGTTCTTTGAATCTTACATGTAACAGGTGTTGTTTTCCCACAATTTATTGTTTATTACACTCACACCGAGTGTTATAAACCACATTCTTTGTGAGAGGAATGGGAAGTAGGGATTTTACCTTTGTAAGACTGTCACATAGTGTAGGAGACTTAAGAAAAGAATGGGATGTTAAGTTTATTCATTTTCCTACAACGTTTTTTTCCTAGGCCTGGTATGTAAGGAAGAAATGACTTTTTCTTTTCGTTGTGATTTTCTGTTTGTGGTTCATTAGTATTTGAGACAGATGTGTGTTATATGATTCATAATCTATATTAATTATAATTCTATATGTTTAATAAGTTTAATACTAGAAGTCAGTTATTGTTACGTCTTTTGCCTAGACACCTATCTTAAACCAGTGTTCCACAATTTAATGAATTTTTATCGCTCGGTTCATTATTGCCAATGAAGGCTCTGGTAAGAGGGCCTAAAGCTTGCAAATAAAAGTATTTATGTAGAGAAAAGTCTGTTTATAATTCTATATTTTAATATGACTGATTACATTGAAGATCAGTTACTAATATTTAATTACTTATGCTGCCTTAAGCAGAATTAGATAATTTAATGTATTTTCAATTCAAATTAATGTGCAAGGTCTTAAGTTGTGTTATTTTAATAATAATAAATTAACAGTAGGTGATTGATGTTGTATTTGTGAATAGACTATGAGGCAGTTTAAAATTTTGAGCATTGATATGTAGTATAATGTTAGCTTTTATGTACTAATGATTGTGTTCTGTGCTTTTGTGAAATATGTGGAAAAACTTGAGAGTTATAAAGAATGGACTTAGGAATTCATTGGTGAATATGCTGTCAAATTTGAAAAACCAACTGAGTAATACTTTAACATACCTTGAGTCATTTTAAAATGTCTCCAGATATTTCTTCAGATATAATTACTTTCATGTGAATTTATGTAATCCACTGTGAGTTTTAATGACCCATATTGGATGTAGGGTCTCATAACTTGAGAAACATTCAATTAAACATTATTAATATATGGTGGAAAACAGCATATGACAACTAGGATCTCCTTCAAAAGATCTGTCATTCTGAAAAACCTGGGGGTTTCCTTTGTTTTTTTGTATTTTCTCACTATCAATTTTGTCAAATTAATTCTTTTTTTACCACTTTCAATTTAGTGCTGTGACAATCTAGTTCTACACTGTGTACTTAACTTGGTGGTTAAGTATTTATAGATCATGGGTTTGCATATGGCAATGTTGCATGTTTACAGTTATTAACACAACACTGTGTACAAGCAAATCGTCAATAAACATGTTTCCAATATCCTGTTACATCATGCTCTGTAGTTTGGTAATTCAAGCTTTGCTAAGGTAATGTAATTCCTCACAGTCCATATGGGAGTCAGTACTATATATTGTTGTAACTAAATACAACTCAACAAATTTTTAGTTACTTTAATTCAAAGTTTTCAACAATTTTTAACTCAAAAATATTTTACAGTGAATATTCTGTCATTTTGTAACACTTATTTAGTATGTTCTCTAACGAAAAATTAAAATATTCAGAGTTTCATTTCTTTGCATTTTGATTCAGAGTTTCACCTATTATAGGTGGACACAATGCACGGAGAATGGGGTAATATAGGGGGGTCAGATCTAAGTGGTGATCCCTCCCATGTGTCATCCTCTTGGGGCTCTTAAGGGTATATGCCTGGTTTGGTTACAAATGGTCCCTATGTTTCACCAGTTATTAGCAGACACATACAGATAGACTTTTGCCAAATAATGGATTAGATTATTTTTTTGTTTATTGTATTCAAATGTACAGAAATTTATTGGCTGATTAGTTATTTGTAATTTAATTATGATATGTTTCATTTTTTGATTATCAATTTATTTGATCAATGGGAGATTACTGTATATTTTAAAAACAAACAAAATGGAGATTGCATGCATGGTCATTTCAGCATTAGTGATATGCTAAGTAAGAAATGTTCAGATTATATTTTTATGAAGAATTGCCAAAATATTTTTTCTTTGGTAAAAAATGTTTGTTTGTTTTTTGAAAAAATTGCAAATACTAACTGCCAGCAGAAACCTGAAAGCATTGAAATAAATATTTGAAAAATTATTTTGAAAGGTACAGTTTGGTGGTGATGTTTCATTTAACGTCTCTGACATATCTTCAGGTAACCGTGTAAAGAGTCTAGCTACATTATTATTGGATCAAGGACATGGACATGTTCAACAGTCCCATGTAATTAGGTGGTGGAATAAGGTCAGTGGTCTTCAGTGGTAGATTCTGTGAAGGCATTACCGGTGGATGGATGGATGGTTTGTTTCACTAGTGTAAGTTTACAGTGGGGTACTGTAGACTTCTAACTTCTATTTCTTTGTGTCTGTTGATGCCAGAGGCACCAAATATCATTAGTTCATGATTTTCCTGCAAACTATATAATGTAAAATTAAAATAATTTTGACTTGTAGTTAAGTTTAAAACTGAAATATTTAACATTTAATAAGCTTTATGTATAGGTTCTTCTGCTGCACTTAAAGGTCTGTCATGCCAACTCTGCTGAGACATCCCGTTTTGTCAAATGTACTTATGACCTGTTGAAACCAAGCATTGCAGCTCTATGGTATGAAGCAGCAGGGACTCTAATCATTCATTCCAGAGCTCCAAGAGCTATGGAGGTGGGCAGTTTTGTATTCTCATAATTTAACTTTTTAAAATAAAGTTACGAGTAAATGTGTTACAGTTTTAGTTTATTTTGAAGATGGATGATGAGTTTCTTGATAGTTACATTAATCTTGTTGTTTGTGCATGTAATATATCTTTTTTATTTTCAGGACAGTTTGCTTTATATATATGTATATATACACCTGGAAAAAAGTTAAGCACCCCCAAATATTTTTCAGGATTGCTTATTAAAAATAAGGTTTAATTTTCATGATGTTGAGCAATG